ACATAATGCAAAACAGGAAAAATAAAACTCATCATTCTGACATGTTGGATTTTGTTACTTGTAAAAATTGTACAAAGAGCACATGTGCATGAGTTAAAACACACAAGGGAAATGTAGGGTGTTGAAAAGGAAATACAAAAGAAGTCTGAGACATGACACAGAAAATTCCATTCTGCAAGTCCAAATAAAAAGATATTTTACTTACTTAAAAATGTGTTATTCCAATACACTAAGAAGTCTTTTGATTAGGAACACAGCACGAGAGCTTCCTGCAACTGTTCATGAACAGGTCAGACTCAGTCTCACCGAACACAGGGTGGAGCATGACATTACCTTTCCAGCCTCAGGCAGGCCGCTACATGTATGTGGTTATGGTACAATGTCTGTGAGGTATTACAATAAATAAATTCTCTATTAGCCGTCTGACAACGCCAGCAGTGGATGTCACCATTTCAACGTTCAAAAGGGAGAATCCATCTCCAGTCCTTTTTCCCCTCTGGTGACTTTCAAAGATGGTTTTTCACACTTAGAAAAAGAGAGAGAAAACAGAGAAATATTTGAGATGCAGTGTAAAAGGCAAAATGCTGCACTTTGCCTTACGTGTTAACAAAGTCTAGGTACTAAAGGTGGACTGTGTTACATCTGAAAGACCGTGGTTAAGGCCACACAAGAATTTATTTCAAGGTAATTTAGATAAGGATCTACTGTTCACATGCCCAGATTTTTGTCTTATGTTGAACACTGCTGTGGGAGGACGGGGCTGACGCGTGCTGGGTACCATGGATGCAGCGCAGGACCTCCAGCCTGGGCCCCGGCTGCCTCTGCCGACCAGTCTGCCCCTGCGCCGGCCGCCCACCTGCTCTGAATCAGTGCACTGCTTTCCCTGCTTTTACATTTTATCTATTTTTTCTATTGAGATGTAATTGACATATGGCATTATATTAGTTTCAGTTATACCATGTAATGATTCAATATTTGTATGTATTATGAAATGGTCACAGTAAGTCCAGTTAATATCACTGTACACAGTTACAAATGATTTTTTCTTATAATATGAACTTTTAAGGTCTACTCTCCTTTCCCTTCTGGGGTTAGATAGTTCGGCAGAGTTCCTACTATTACAATTTCCTGTTTATTTGCTTGTGCTTCTGAGGGTGAAATGCTTCCTCTGGAGATTCAAAGGGATTTAACAACGGGTCCCCCTGGAGGCACATCCAGCCGTCCTGCTGCGACTGGACCATGTCCTTCATCTCAGAAGCTCCGAGACACTCCAGAGCCCTCCTGGTAGTGGGGCTGGGCTGCATCCCGGCTCTGCCCCCCGCCAGCTCCACGGCCTTGGCCCAGCTACTCCCCCTCCAGTGTCACAGCCCTCACGGGCGAGCCAGACAGTAACAGTGGCAGCCTCCCAGGACTGCCGCTCCCCAGAACTCACGAGTCAGGGTCGTCACTACACTAAGTCTGACCCCGAGACGGTCTGGCTCAGGCAACAGAAATGAACTGCGTCATCCTTATTAGGAATTTGGGACTGTGCGCTAATTTTCATCCTTTGCAAATTTATACCTTTAAAGAAAATGTTAAGAAATGTTGCATTACAAAATGTGTCTGAGAAATTCATCTAAATAGGACATATGTGGCTATATGCTCACATCCTATTCTTTGAATTTAATCTGAGAAAGGCTCCCTGTTTAACTACTTTGTTGTCATGGTTTCCTTTTCAAAGGCTTACTTAAACAAAAGTAGTTCTCATCATCCTAAAAGTGGTTTTTCTGTGTCCTGTTTTTCTTCAGCTGCTTCTTCAAATCCTAGATGGTGGGGAAGGGGAAGGGAGAAAAGTACTGCGTTCTATTAAAGATGGATTTCTTTCATTAATTTCTATAAAATTGTGATATACATGCATAAAATTTTAAGTGAGAGATACATATGTTGAATCTCCTCAAAGAGATTTAGGTGAACAAAACTATAACTACAAAACAAAGTTTTAATTTATTTTTCATACACAGAAAACCTTGAAAATAGGTTCGATCACTTGCATTCATCTGCCAAAATGGATTTCACTTATGTTCTTCAAAAAATATTCATTAAAACCAAGAACTATTATTGACTGATGTTCCTCCTTCCACCTCTTTGCTGACAAGCTTTCATATGTTTTTTAAGTGAAAATATCTTGAGGCTTTAGTACAAATAATTTAAATTACATATTTTGAAAAATGGCTGTATTCAGTGAGTGAGAGAGCAGTAAGGGCTTCCTAGTGCTGGGATGATGCCAGCCTGTCTCCCTCCTGCACTGTTCCCGGGGACCACTGTTACACCACTGTCGTCAGTGTCTCCTGAACCTTATATGATTCTTGAATTTGATCCAGTCATTCCACTCTGGAATTACTTCCTAGGATAGATCCCTGAGGAAATCGTACTTCTTTTCCACTATGATGTTTGTCCCTTTAAAAATCAGAAGAAAAATCTAACATCTGAGAGTAAAAGAAAAATAATTACTATATTTTCATGGAACATCTTGCATTCACTTAAAAACTGTGTATCAAGCAACATCTTATTTCTCTTTTCGCGGAGACTCGTGGAGCCTTGACCAGAAGCTTCTGAACTCCCACTTAGGGCTCAGAGGGAAAGCCCTGGCTACTGTGTGACTCTGTCCTGCCCAAGAGTTTCCCTCTATGATTTATGCAAACACGTGTCTATTAGATGAATATGACTTTTCAGTGCCACTTAAGAGCACAGACACATCATGCTAGGAAGAGAAATGTAACAAAGGAAACCAAATGTCACCTGTTTAAATAAATTTCTGGGCACAAGATGGAGGTGCTGCCACCCCGGATACCAGGTCAGCAAATTGAAACTTGCATAAATGTGCACTTGGCCACAAACACAGTATTTCCCGCCAACCAGTCCCTTAATACCAAGAGTCTGTCGTGATTCTCTGTTCCAATTAAGATCAGATAGGCAAACTTAGCCAATTAACTAAGCCAAATATTTTTTCCTTATTCCCTAATGGACCTGGCAGCCTTCTAAGGAAATGCCCCACCTAACTAACCCTTCCTCGTTTCCACTGCTGCTTCCAAAGTTCTTCCAAATGTGCTCCTGGCCCACATCCCTGGGGAGCAGTGCTCCCTTGCTTGTGAGACTCTGTACTCCCCCAGTCCATGCACTGTTCTCCTTGAAGAAAGGACATCAAACTCTTAACCAGATTGGTTTTTTTAAACCATTTGTCACACCAAAGAGAGTATTTGCCTAGAGGCCTGGGGCAAACCTCATTAAAATCTAAGACTGGTTATTGCCATCAGCCTTTGACCTTTAATTTGAGCAGCAATTGAATGAAAATTGTTATTCAAACAATTGAGGAACACAGTTTTGAATGCTGACAACATGAAATAAAATTTACTTGCATAAAACAAGAGACGGTTGTAGATTTTGTTCCCCAAAGAAATATTTCCTTATGGGTGAATACCTAGAGAATAGAGGGAAAAACTCAGCTCTCACCACTCAAACTGCTTGCCTTCTATTTGGAGACTTTCCACTGTTGTTCTTCTATGTTGATGTCACTTCAATTGTCACTTTCTTTTCCACTTAATATTTTACCACAGCTGGGCTAGACATCAGCAGAGGGTATAAATGGTAACCCCAGGCATATTCTTTTAGCTAAAATATTCTATTAGCCCTGTTGGGCCCACACTTCACTAGCGCAGCACATCCCAAAAACCTCCATCTGGGGACCCTTGTGCCTTGAATCTCGGTTACAGCTGAGCGTGTCTGACTCTCGGTTTGTCCTACAGAAGAGGAGCTCCGGAACTGGGTCAGTTGGTGCAGGCTCAAGTTCCCATGTCTTCCCTGCCCAAGCCAAGGCCTATCTCTTCACCAGGCCCACCGCCCCCTCCTCTTGGCCTTCAGTGTATAATTGGCATAACTAATTAGCATAATTATATAGACCCAGGAGGCCCTGGGTATAATTGGCATAACTGAAAAGGAACCTGCATTTCAGTTGGGAGTCGCAGCCACCTTATTCCCAAAGCCTCATTTCAGATGAATTCCCCAGCTGATCCTTCCCAGTGTCTTTACCATCGCTGAGGATATGACGTTGGAACTGGAGGACCTGGTCCCACTCCATGGCCCTCATTTCCCCCTGGTTCAATTTCAGAGTCTTTCTTTGAATACACACACACACATACACACACACCCACACACACCAGATTCTCCAGAACTGTAACATTCCCTATAATTTCTACACTAAGTGGACTGCAGGAATCATCTACTACCAGCTGCCCAGTTTCAAGGTGAGGAAATAATGCCCATCATTTCTTGAGCATCTTCTCTGTATATGGGACCCGGGTGCATGCTGTAGTCACGTAATCCTGTTTACTCTCCACACAACCCCATGACATCCCTTTTTAAAGCTGAGGAAAAGGAGATGAGACAACGTGCCCGAGACTCCTGCTATCATGTTATTGAAGGCATTTAAAATCTCCTTTTGCTGGGACCTCTCGGGGAAGTGCTCCAGTGCTGCTTGGATGGCGGACATGCCCTCTGAGGAGGGATGGCTTTTCTGGGCTTGACCCTTCCTCCCCAGCAAGCAGCACATGCCCTGCTCCATTGGTATCAAGTGACTAAACCAAGCATGAGATGTGCCCATAGCCAGACCTGGCTCCAAATTCCAGCATCATTCTCCTTGGGCATGCAGCCTTGGAAAAACAATTTTAAAACCAGCTCCGGCTTCCCCATTTCTAAACTGAGGATAAAATTTGTCCCACAGGGTAATTTGCAGGATTTAATAAAACAACGGACGTAGATCAGTTAGCAAGCACCCTAACAGAGTGCAGCTGATGTCTGATCAAGGATTGCTGTGTTGCTCCTGTTACTGTTCCATCAACTTCTTTTAGCGTTTCTCAGACCTCTCACATTTATCATCCCCGCCTTCCTCCTGTGGTCACACTTCCGTCTCCTCCCTCTTGGCCCCTCCCGCCTTCCCTCCCTCATTTCTCCCACAGTTGCCTCCCTGCACCTGAGAGTTGCAGAGGCTCCCGCCCAGACCTGGCCTCACCACCGGCCCGGCTGCCAGAGAGCCTCCTGGCGATTTGAGCCCCAGATCACCATGGGCCCCTCCACCCCGGTGGGATGCAGAGCCCTGCTGGGCTACCTGGCCCTCCTGTGGGCCCTCCCAGTTCCCAGTAAGTCCCGGCCCTTTCCCTGGGTGGGTGGGGAGAACCAGGAGGCTGTGGGCTCAGCCCGCCCTCATCACTGCCCTCTCCCTCGCAGGCGACCAGGAGGAGGTAAGGCTGGTGCAGCCGGCTCTGGTGATGGCGCGCACCAGGGGCTCGACTACCCTGCCCTGCCAGGCCTACGGCTCGGTCACCTATGTCCACTGGTACCGCCAACTGGAGGGCCGGGCCCCCGAGAGGCTCCTCTATCTGGCCTTGTCGAAGAGGGACGTGCAATGGGATTCGGTACTGAGAGGTGATAAAGTCAATGCCCAGGTGAACAAGGATGGCAGAAGCTGCTTCTTGTCGCTGATGAAGCTGGAGAAGGCTGATGAGGGCATGTACTACTGCGCTGCCTGGGACGCCCACAGCCCCGCGCGCCGCCCGGGCCCCTGCACAAAAAGCGCTGGGACCCACTGGTCGGTCCAGGCCTGACAACGGCCACACCTCTGGGTCCCTCGGGTTGCCCCGAGGTCAGACCTCAGAATCCCGGCCCTCCGGGACTCCCCCTCCGCAGGTCCTGCGCACATAAAATCGGATGGGAGCAGGAGCTGACCCAGGCAGGGACCTTTCTTAAGACCATCCAGCTCAGCGTCTCTGGAGCATCTGGAGGACAGTCTGGGCCGCTCATTTCCACCAGCCACTAGCCACATGTGGCTACTGAGCCCTTGAAATGGAGTTGGTCCAATAGTCCAAGCTGAGGTGCCCTGTGAGGATGAAACACAAACTATATTTTGAAGACAGTGGCAAAAAAAAGGTAGAATATCTCATTAATGATTTTCATACTGACTGCATGTTGAAATGATATTATGGAGATCTTGGACAAAGTAAAAATAGTCCTAACAGTAATTTTCACTGTCTTTTTACTTTTTCTAATGCAGAAGTCAAAACATTTTAAATTTGTGACTTGAACGGGTGATTTCTATTGGACAGAGCTGTCATAGACAGACAATATAAGAATTTGGCCACCTCCCTTGAAGGATGCACAAATAAAATTTTGTGCAAATGATTGCAAGGGTGAAGGACCTTCTGGAGACTTGCCACAAAGTGACTGAAAGCTGAGCCTGGAAGTGAAGTCCTGCCAGAGTTCAGCAGGTATTCTGTGAGGATTGTTCCCACATGTTGATGCCTTTGAGGTATTTGTCGGGGGAGGGTGAGCTCTGTGTCCTTCTGTTCTGCCATCTTGAAGCCCCTCCCCTGGAAGGGAACTCCTGACTCCAGTCTATAAGTTATCATTTGGCAGGTAGGGTAGGGTTTGCATTAAGGCAAAAATCATACAAATCAGCGAGCGCCATATTCACCGCCTTCTTGTAAAACCAGTCAACTTCTTGCAAAGAAAACCTGTGTCACTGATTCTCAGCCCCAAATAGGAAACCCCTCTGCTGCTATATGTGGGGGAGAAATAAAAGTTCTTTGAGGTTGAAGCTGAATATGGATCCTTTCCAACTGAAAATTCAAAGTTTATATACAGCTTAAAAGCAACAGTCAAATGAGTAGTACAAGGGAAGTCTAAATGATTCTGAAGAAAATTGGTCCCGCAGATTCCTTAACTCATTGTGTACCTCCCTGAGCTCTGATGTTGCAGTTAGAGATATGTAATTAAGACATGCTTGGCTTCTGAGAAAGCCTAACAGCCCACCCTCTACTGCACACCTAGTTCAAGGCTTAGACCCCCCACCCCCCAGTATGTATGAGAAGAGGTGGGGGTAAAGGGGGCAGAAACTTACTTTAGCTCCGTTTCTGTGGGGTTCCCTTACTTTATCTTTTCCATTCTCCTAATAAAATTCTTTCCTCTTCTTGCATCCTCCCAGTGCCTGACTCCAAGGAGAAGGGAATTCTGTGACCTGGTGACAATGAGGGGCGTGGCCAACAAGAGGAACCAGCTCTTCACTCATATCCTTACAGAACAACATTGTCCCCAGTCCCCAAGGGCTTGTAAACCTCCACTCTGCTCTTAACCCTGTTTTCACTGCTCACTGACCCCTGCTTTGGCCTGATGAAAATTTCATTACGCAATTAATTGTTTCTGACTTTTGGGTTCTAGGATTTTTTTTAACATGGGAAAAAGGCAAGACAAAACTATTTATTGATGCAAATAAAAACATTAAGTTGGACCACAAAGACATGCCTCTGGATTATTGTCTTTGGTGCTGCCCTGCTCCACTCTCAGCCTGCTGTTAAGTACAGAGATATTATCCACAGGCAGAGGGAAAGGACATAAAGGACTTCCAGTTTAACCATGGTGACTTAGCTAAACACCATACGAGAAGCTGATCTGACTATTTTGTTTGCTGAGTTTGAATGGTGCCTGGGCACACTTTTGACCTCACTGCTAACAACCTGAGAGTTGCTAAGAAATGGAATACCCTTTATGATGGGAACCTGAGCATCAGGACCTACAGTGGGTAGGAGGTCACTGTGCCCGAGCTTGGAGAAAACAGGTTCCCTGGGGAGGTGGCCGCCACAAAAATTCAAAAGTGAATCAAGGATTTTTGGAGGCAACTGTACAAAATTAATTGACTTACTGTGTCCAGTTCAGAAATCTGTGATGGAGCAGGTCCCTTTTCAACTCTGATACCCACTTGCTCTAATACATACAGGTGCTCACATGGGATAGACAGCTTACCCTATCTGATATTCTCAGATTCAGTCTCCCCATCCGTAAAGGGATATAGTAAGTGTTCCTTTCTTGGAGGGCTGCTGGACTGCTCACTGGGTCAGTACATGTAAAGAACTCAGACACATAATAAGGAAGCTTGTCATGCAGTAAGAGTTCTATAACGGTTGGCACTGGCCATTATTGTCTGTGGCCTGGGCCCTGGGTAAAGAAGATGCAGATGAGACGGTCAGGGGTCCTCCGTAATGACTTTTCCTCTCAGGAGCCTTCAAACCCAGACAATATGAAAGACAAGACCACCGCCTTGGCTGAGATGGCCACATTATTCTGCCTCCTCAGTGGCCAGGGCTGAGCACCAGGTAGGCAACAGATCCTGAACTTTACATCTTTTTTTTTAATGACCTAGATATTATCATCCCCCTTTATGCATGAGGTATTTGGGATTCAGAGGGACTCTGGAGCATCTAAGATCACAGAGGCATTGCTAACAGCAGAGAAGGGGAATTCAAACCAAGTATGAACAGGAATATCAAATCACTGTGTTGTACACTTGAAACTAGTATAATATTGGAAGTCAACTATACTTCAATACATTTTAAAAAAGAAAAGAAATGAAAACAGCAAGAAGAAAGTATGCTTTTCTCACCACATCAAACAACCCCAAAAGAACTGAATTAAAGGACAAAGAAGAAAAGAGGGGGTCAGATCTGTGTATATATTCAGGAAGATGGAGAATGTGTTCCCACAAATGTAGCCATGCAGGAAATTTGGTCCTGTAATGAAAAAGTGTTGAAACAAAGAATTTCCAGTTGATTGGATAAAACATGACAGAGTAATCTATTTCACCGTATCAGAGAACTGGGCTTTGTTTTCAAGTTTTAGTTTAAATAAGAAATCTATCCTTTCAGAGAAGATAGAATTCCACAGATTTCTTCCTTTAGCCTACGAAAAATAATGTCATCACAGAACTAATTTTTCTCACTTCGCATTACTGTGGTAAAGAATCACATTGTCCAGTGAATGGAGAACTTCTTCCCACTTCTCAGTACACTTGTGTTGGCATATTTGCATTTTCAGTTACTGAAGAGCTTCCTCCTTTCAGAAGTGCATTCCCAAGCCGCTAACGGAGCAGCCCTGGTGTTCGTGAGAACAGAGGGGTCTTCCTTTGATGCAAACTCGGAGCAGTTTCAACGCAGCTGAACACCTGGGGGGAAAAGAAAAGTGTTGTTTCTCTGAATACTTTTCCTGGTAGTTTAGAAAAACAGTTGGCTGATTGGTTGGTGCTGTGTCTTCTTTTCCTGCTTTTATCCTTGTCATCTTTTATTGGTGCTTTTAATAGTTACTCCTCCGTGGAAAACAGATATTTGGGTCCATTTATTTCAGGAAAACTTATAAAATATCAGATACCATAAAATCTACGTTCAAGGACTTCCAAACGAACCCAGAAGGTCAAATTGCCATTACAAAATTTTTTAACTGCTAGTCACATCATGAAGCGAGGGGAAGGCTGAGATTTTTATAGGAACTCAAATCACACCCGGGCTGCAAAAAGGGCTGGAGGAAGATATTTGGAGAAGGGACTGAGCTCATAGTAACCGTCCCTGGTAAGTAGCTTTCTTCTGTTTTTGCCTTAGTAATGAAAAACTGACAGATGCTTTTTAGGGAAAAAAACCCCCAACAATTTAGGATCCCCCTTATCTGACTGCCACATTCTTGGCTTCGGCACGTGAACCATAATTTTGCAGCTGCTGGTCACCGTATATGGAAAGAAAACTATTTTGTAAATGGTTTGTTCTCTACCCTGCTCAGAAGCAGATTGAAATTCTTCTCTTAGAATATGCACACACACACAAATGTAGACAGTAGATTCAGGTTAGGTATTAAAATAGTCTGAAGATCATGTCTGTTTCATTGTTTTGTTTATGTTTCAATATTCTTATACCATTATCACATTATGTCCTTAAGTTGGTGTAAGTTATCGGTTCAAGTTCCTTTTCTTGTAGACAGTCTATTAAGTGAGAAGCTCTTTTCTTACTTTTCTCTTCTCTATAATTTGAGATAAAACACCATTCTCCTTTTCCCCCCAAACCTGCAAAACCTATATTATTGGTTTCCATTTCAGACCTAACAGCAATACAAAAAAATTCTCATGGTAAATGTCTACAGAACATCAATAAAGCCCAGTTCTTATTACTCTAGTTTCTTGGAGGTAGGCTGAGGCCAGCTGAAACTTATGCTATCGCATCTTTTGTTATGGTACCTGGTTACGGACCAGTTTAACGGAATTTGTGAGCTCAAGGAGCCATTTCTGCTCCAAAGTCCGTGAAAAGAGTCTGCACGGTTTTACTCCCTCATTTGCTCTTTCTTTCTCCTGGCAAACATTTACTGAGGACAGTTTCTGGGCTGGATGCTGGAGATAAAAGGGTGAACAAAACAAAGGACAAGTCCCAGCTATCAAACAGTTTCCAAGGCAGGATGTCTCGGACCGATGAGCTTGTTTCCTTTCTCAGTTGATGTAATAGTTATTGCTTATAAAATCCATATTTTTTGTCTGATGGTAGAATTTGGTGAAATGGCCCCAAACCATCCCCGTAAAGAGAATAATAATATCAGGTACATTTACTGAGGGCCGGACTCCGTGATAGATGGTTTGAGTGCCCTATCTCATTCCTCAACAGGAAGCCTCTTCTTCCCATTTCATAGACAAGGAAACTGAGGTTTAGAGACGTTCAGTTACTTGCCTAAAGTCACGTGACTAGTTACTGTGGCAAAATTTGAGATCCAATAGAGATTTCTCTATTCCCAAATGCATGGTCTGGACCATTATGTGATGTGAGAAATATTAAGTGTAAATTTTATATTCTGAATATTTACTCTTCTGTAGCCTGATCTTTTAAATGGATCCTTTAATTGACTTCTTAATTAGTAATACCTATAATTTTGTATTACTCATGTATGAAAATAATGCTTCTGCTTCTATTCATGGCACTGAAATGACATCCTCCCCCCAAGACATCAAGTAGATCATATTGTACATACATTTCTTGAGTCACTCAAACTATAATTCTTGGGGTGTCTCTCAATAATGACTCCATTGCCCTCAGTTATCTTTCTGTATTGGTATCAAATCAGCTCGAAATACAGAAGCTGTTAAAAGAACTACAGCAGTTGTACTGCACTGCATTCCTGATTTGCACAACTCACAGCTGCATTTACACTCACGACAGGGGTGGAAAATGCCAAGCCAAATACTGGAGAAAATACCAAACTGAATCGGGTTCTCCGATGAGCAGCGCAGGATTTTCATTCAATGCCTTGGAAACCATCGGGTATTTTCATTCAGCAATGAATAGCTCAAGAGTTCATCCTTAAGAAGTCAGACTCTGCAACGACTCATCTGGTCTTTAAAGTAAGAATTGGATTCTAGACAGAAGTTACTTTAGAATCATCCCAGACCTCAAAAAATAAAAAACATAAAATCCCTGTAAAACATGTTGACTATGCATTTATTAAACACTCAAATATGTAATTCTTCTTATTGTTTGTCTTTGATAATTTAAGGAACATTAACTCTACATTACACTCTTGACAAAGAACTGACTCTATACATGAAAATCTTTAAATCAGAGAGGAGATTTAGAGGGTTCAGGCAGCAGGGTAAGATGTAACCACACTTTCCAATGTATGTGAAGTGAGAAAAGCACAAACTTAGCTGCCCAGGCAGAGCTGAGTTTGTTATTTGATTCTTTTTTTTTTCTCAATTGAAGTACAGTCAGTTACAATGTGTCAGTTTCTGGTGTACAGCGCAGTGTCCCAGTCACCCATCTACATACATATATTCATTTTCATATTCTTTTTCACTAAAGGTTATTACAGGTTCTTTGATTCTTGACCACATTTATAATTAATGTGGTTTTCTGAGCTCCATCTTGAATGTTAACAGGGCCAATTTTTACATATTTATATAAATACTGAAAAAATAGGGGCGCAAGGATAAAACAGGCACAACTCTGTGTGATTTCTGAATGTTTTACATCTATATCACAGAACTAGAATTTGCAAACATGATTTCCCATTCCTCATGTCATAATTGTTAGGCCTTATTAAATGATCAATCTCTGGGACAAAAAAAGAAGCAAGCTGTGATGCATGAACTTGCTGTCATTTATTTAAGCAGCTGGTTTCCAAAATCTATTTGAGAAGTTCTCACATAGAAAACACACGTACAGGCAGAGCATGAAATGAGAATAGAAGATCGAAGACACTAAGAAACAAGGCCTGTGATGATCTGGCAAGAGGCATGGGGTAAGATTTTATTCTCAAAGGTAGTAGAATCAGGTGTCTGCCCTATCTCAGTGTTACAGATAAAAAAGAAAAAAGTTGAAAATGGGGTGGAATACATACTTTTTATTATCGGACAAAATGAGCACACCAAATTTTCAAATATGATATGTTCTTACACCATAAAATTAGAAAAGGACTTCAATAGACAAGATTTAGGAGGGAAGTGAGAGAAGATAGGATAGTGCCTGCAGCGTGCATTTTATAAACTGAAAGAAATGGTCTTTAATCAAATCCATTTGTACTCCTAGGGCACTGATGCTCTGGGCACCATAACACTGAATGTCATTCACAGATGGTGGCCCTCGGCAGATAGGGTCAGGCAGGTAGGGTGTTCATGATCCAACGTGATACTGGGAGGATTTGAGGGCCAGGCATCCTGCCATTTCTCTGGTCATTCTGTCTTGAAGGTCCACTGCCAGGACTTGCAGGCTGAACCCTGTGCATGAGCTGGACAGAAGTCAGTTTGAGGCTGAAGTTTCTGGTAAAAGCTTGGAATGAAAATAGATTGTGCTGTTGATAGGCGGAAGGAAGCCTTTTGTTTTGAACACAGGTGAAGCAGTTCCATATACTGACTGTATATATCAGGCTTTAGCCAAGTTTCCCCTTGATTTTCTTAACCCTGGAGATGCAAGGGGTAAGACTAGACAAAGAATTGCCTTTTCATTGTGTGTGCGAAAAGCACTTGCCCTGTGTTGATGGCTTTGAGAATTCCAGACATATCAGAGCACACTGAATTGCAGACAAAGGGACAAGTCTTCGCAGTTAATGACCACAGACCCAGTTGCAACCCCCAAACACTGAATTCCATCAGTAAGGGCAAGCTTTGGTCTCGTGATATTAAAATACCACGTTGGAGCTTACAATCAGCACAAATTGCTAATAATAATGATAAGCTAATAGCAATTATGATAATCTCTCTTTGTTCCGGCATTCTTAATCAATTTGCTTTTTCAGATCTTGTTTCATTTTGGTCTCACTTAGGACTAGTAGGGATGTTGAATGGATTTACTCTCACGTTATGTCTTCAAGTAAATAAGCACTGAAAGCTTTAACTTATTGATTGGCTTAGCTACAGAACTTGTTACGAGCAAAAGGAACCAGGTGCAGAACCCTGATCTCTTGAATCCCAGGCCAGCACAGTTCCACTAAGATTTGAAGAACTCAGAGAAGCTAAATTAGTCTTAAGTTTTTGATACGGGTTGAATCACTGTGGAATTATATAGTAAAATCTTCGGTGGTGGAACAAAACTCGTAGTCACAGGTAGGTATCAGAGGAATGTCATTTTTTTTTTCAAGGTAATAGAGGGAAGGCAAGAGACAATTAAATTGGAATAACAGTTTAAAATATTTGGAAAAGTGGGAATATGAATGGGGACTAGCTGTAAAAATTTAGGAGAGATAGTAAAACAAATCCTCAGAGTAAAGGACAGCAATAGACAAGATTGTACAAATATCGTAGTAGGATTTGTCTTTGTGTACATGCACACTTATATGAAAGGGCTCATGTATAACATCATGAAAGTGTTTAGCCCGAGGCCGAAATTTGTTACTAAACTAAGTTTTGTGAATTGACACATTTCCTTTTCTGATGGTGAAGGGATGTTTTCAAAGAACCTGATTTTGGGGTCAGGCTGAGTAGGACCTCTGGGTCCACTATTCACTGCTTCGAAGAACTTGGTCCATTATTCTTTGGCCTCAGTTTCCTAATCCATAAAATGGGATAATAGTGCATGTCCATTAGCTGTTGTATGAAAATTAAGTGAGATAGTGTGAATAGCGTATCTGGTACATTGTCTAACACATCATAGGCGCTGGGTCAGTGTATCTACAGTCTATTCAAGTGTAAAGGGAAAATTGTATCCAGCAGGGAGAGTTGTTTGCAGGCAAAAATACTGACGGAACTGAAATTCTCCAGAGGCTACAGCTGAGCTTCTAACTCCACAAATGGAAAGTTATCTTACCATCCACTGGTAGACACACAAAATTGAATTGGGAGATATTTATCTCTCTCTAGCAGACTTTTTTCCACTTGGAAAGAAAACTGAGATTAAAATGTGTTTGTGTTTTGTATTTGTTGTTGCTCTATGTGCTTTAAATCTCAGTCCTTTAACTTAATTGATATCTTCTCTAACACCAACATTTATTAGCTCTAAAATGGATAGCCAGTAAGTTTGGGCTTCATGATCCTGTTTATCAGAAAAAATGTTTTAATTCGTAAATTAAATGATCAAGATGCAAAGTCCATTTAATATAGTGACAAAAATCGTAATGTAATTTTCTTCTTTGAATGTGAAATAGCTCTCATATTTAATTTATGAAAGGAAATGACAAGAAAAAATAGAGAACTCTATGTAAACAAAGTATATGGTTGGAGAAATATACAGCGTCTTACTGTTATAAGTAATAAAATACTACTTACACCACACGTGAGATGTATAAAATCACACATTATAGTCTGATTGTATTTACAGCATAAATTAAAAATTACTACTGTTTGCTTCCATTTAGTAAAAAACTCAGGAACTTTACTATAGAGGCAAAAATTTTCAAGAAGTGATTTCTTTTCCTTTTCAATTGAGAAGTCCAATTTTTCTCTTCTTAGGAAACTGTCCACCAAACGATTAACTCCAAACTAGCCCAAAGAGAATAGTAGTAAAGTATTTGTGTTTCATTTGGAAATCAAACTGAAAAGGCTCCCAACATTTATCATTTTAACCATTAGATTAGCCATAAATGTATAGTCAAGTAACATTCCAGCATTGAAGTGACATTCTTTATAAACTATGTTTTGTTATGTATGTTGACGCTATGTCTGCAAGAAACTCAGGAAGCATACATTGAACCTTACTCTAATTATACGTACACAGTATTCAGCACATGAAAATAAACAGTGGTGCTGTAAAGCAGTTCAGCAGCCTTACGGAGTAGACTGAAATTTGGGAGAGACATTGAGATTTAAAATATGGTAGATTCTTAGTCATGCTTAAAATTCAAATGAAATTCCAAAATACAATATACTTTTGTTGAACGTTTTCTAAAATGAAGCAAAATTCTAACTGCATTACTTGATGAAGTATATATAAGGCATGTTAGAAAACTATACACTTTAATAGAAGTTTTGGAAACATTACAATTTTGTTACTAAATTTGAGGCACTGTAAATAATTTACTGCTCCACTCAAAAATCTGGAGTGGTTCAGATGTGAAATTGCATTGTATACAATCAGAAATCAACCCGGAGAACCCCCAACACTCCAGAACTGGGCATGGGACCCCTGCATTGGAAGCTAAAAGTTCAACAACATAGATTGTCAAATACACAGGCACACTAAATCCTGTTACAAAAAGTGACTATATATTGCTTAAAATATGATAAATTTCCTACTAGCATCTATTCATACAAGAAATAAAATAAATATAGTGCATCCCAGAATCAGTTAAATGAAGAATGAGGTTCCACAGAGTTACAGGACATGAGAATATATTATTTAGTCTAAGGGAACAAAAGTTACAAAACACGGATGGGGAAGGGAAGTAGTTTAGAAGCCATCAAAGATCCTCACCTGTAGTGGGGAGGGTACAGCTCAAGTGGTAGAGCGCATGCTTAGCATATACAAGGTCCTCGGTTCAATCCCCAGTACCCCCTGTAAAAAAATAAATAAGTAAACCTAATTACCTCCTCCTCCAAAAAAGTAAATTAAAAAAAAAAGAATTCTCAGCTGTAGAGAAGCCATCCAAGTTATCTGGTCTCCTCCTCCATCCCCATTTCCACCACCCACCCATCTACTACTTTCAAACTGGCTCCTCTAGGGTAGAACAAAAGAGATTTAAAAAAATTTGCTCCTGAATGTTGGAAGCTTTGAAATGGGGCAAAAGTCATGCCCCATCTCTGCATATGGAGAAAGAATGAAGGCCAAAGTGTCATCCAACTACTTAATAGTTGTGGCCTCGGGCAAATTATGTAACCTCTTGAACTTCTCATTCCATGGAAAATAGGACAGTAAGACCTCACCATCTACTGCGGCTGAAAAGCCAGGGCGTGAACTAATTCAATGGTAACTTCTCCTCCTTTTACTACACGCTGGGTAGTTCCAAACTGCACAATGTTCCTGTTTCTCTAATAATTCTTTCAAGTTACTTCTCCGTCTCCCTTCACAGATAGAAGGCTTGATGCAGACATGGGCCCCAAGCCCACTATTTTTCTGCCTTCAATTACTGAAATAAACCACCATCAGGCTGGAACGTATCTTTGTCTTCTGGAGGACTTTTTCCCTGATATTATTAAGGTTTCCTGGAAAGAAAAGAATGACAACAGGATTCTGCAGTCCCAGCAGGGAGACACCGTGAAGACCAGCAACACGTACATGAAGCTGAGCTGGCTGACCGTGCCTGAAAAGTCTATGGATAAAGAACACGTATGTGTCGTCAAACACAGGAACAATAGAGGAGAAACTGGTCAAGAGATATATTTTCCTTCAATAAATAAAGGTATGTATCTATAAATATGAATATAACCTCCCAGAACGCTGTTTTTCAAAGAAAACACCCCACTGTTTCTGCCAAGCATTCATGAAAAACATATAAATCTTTCTAAAGTGTTGTTAACATTCAGTGGTAGCATCAATGTCTTGCTACTTCCCCTAGAATTAAAATGGTACAGTTAGAAACATTAAAAAAAAGAGAGAGAGAGAAATATTCTTAACTTTTCTCAGCCTCTATTTCATCTTGCAAATTATTGAGGTCACAGTGCCGATGTTTTGGTTGTTTTATGGGATTAAATGAAACAACACACTGGAAAGCATCTAACAACTTAGCACACAAGAAACGCACAGAAAGAGATTCCACTGTAGATCATCTTAGATAGTCAGAACATACGAACAATAACGCGTCTTTCAGGAATGGTCTACTCAGCAGGCAAAGTCAGGCTCACTTCAATCCTGTTTTACACAAAAAATAGCCCAGGAACAATGAGTCATTAAATGACAAAATGGTATTTGTATGAGGGAGCCAGACAGCAGCTCAACGAAAAGAGTAATCTGACTGCTCAGATGTACTATGGTCTTAGGTTTTTGATGTTTGTATTTTATGTACCACCTTAAGGTAATTATTTGTAATTAAATATTGGGTGAGGCTAACGTGTGCAGACAGACTTCCGTTGTACATATGAGTGTGTTTCTTGCCATCGCTACATGCCTCTCACAAACTTTCCTTGCTGCCCTAGCACGTGCCAAGCCTGGAAGGGACGTGTGGGTGATACACCCGAGGAATTACTGTCCCCAGGACAGTACAGAGATTATACTCGGTTCCTAATCGCTCAGGGTCACTGGTCATTCAGGCCTGATGTCCCAGAGGAGTCCCTTTGAGGCGGATGCTGTGAGTACTGCTTCGCGCGGGCAGAGGGCTGCACGTGCCTTGGCACTGGCAGTAGTGACTTGTAACTCACTAGACCCGGGACTTACAGTCCTAACAGACCAAAGGTCCCAGGGTGCCCATAGGAAGGAATCATTCTGTGCCTTTCCCTGTGGTTAAGCAGCCCTTTTTAAGCAGTGGGAACTAAGCACCTAACATAATGTACATACATAGACTTTTGCGATGTTTTGGTCCAAATTTCTGAAGTAAGTCATTTTCTTCTCTGTTCCTATAGTTTGTCCAATGATCAAATCAGGTTTGAACACTTGCCTTAGCTTTGTCCTGGGGCTGTGTTGAAGAGCGAATGAAATAACACCAGTGAAAACGCTTGCTTTTGAAAACATAACTTGGATGTATTTATTCATATATTCAGGGTATTTATTTATATCCTTTCCTGAAACTATTTAAAAGTAAGATTACAAAAACAGCCCTAAATTTCTATTTCTACAGCTAAGAAACGGAGGGGAAGCAAATTTGCTAAGTGTAGTTTAATATAACCACGGCCTTATGTTTACCATTGGGCTTTAAGTTTTTAAGTGATCAGAAAGAAATCAATGTAATAAGTTCCATCGTGGTAATTATCATAAAGGAGACAAGTTCTTTTTATAGTGTGTTTTTTTTGGCACTTAATTTTAGAAACAGACGTTTTCCGTGGATTGCATAGCAATAAATCTAATGTTAATATCATTCCACAGCAAATTTCTAATGCTGTTTTTCAGAATTTTTTTGTTTCTTATGAAAGCTAAGAATATAACACAGAAGCACAAACCATGAAGTGATTTTCGAGGAGAGATATAAAGCTAATCTGGTCCAACTTTTCGACCAACCTTGATTGAGAAAGAGATCTTAAGATCCATGGTAATTTATGATGAAATTTTTTTACTTTATTGTTTTTACCGCAATCAATTTGTAGTAATAAGAGATGTATTTATCTTTTCATTAATATAGTCACTGAAAGCATAAGAAAGAGACTTTCAAGACACATTAAAGTCAGTTCTTGAGGATATCTTAACATCAAAATATAATTGTACTAACAGTTTTGTTCTTGGCATTTACTGCAAAGCCTTTGTACCTCAAATCTATTTGTTAGATTATAGTGAAAATGATCTCATTGAAGGCATAAAACGGCACACAGAACCATGCTCATGAACACACCCAGGAGGAAAAGGATAAACCAAAAGGCACCATTGTTGAGTCTGTTTTCTTGCCCCAGCAGTCCATTATCTTAAAAAAAAAAAAATTCGTCTTCATATGCTTGCCTTTGAATTTTTTTACATTGTAGATGGCTACAACTCACACCTCAAGTTTTATGGAGTCAGAGAACTCTAAGTGTGATTTGGCCTGTTTTTCTACATCTGGAATTTTCCATCCCTGGAATTACACTGAAATGCTGAGCTCCTGTAATAAAAAGGTCATTGCTAAGAATAACTAAGATATCTGGAAAAGAAGATGTTTTCAGTGTCCACAGTGATGGAATTACATTGTTTCTCTATAGATTAATTTCTCTCTATTTCTATGGAGTATTTCTGCAAAGTGCTTTCCATGTGCTCTGTCTCATTTAATCCCCCACAATGATCCTTTGAACACTGGCTCTGCCTTCACTGGTGTGACTCTCCGGGAGCTACTTTCCCTCTAATTCTTATTTCCTCCTTTGTAACATGGAGTCCACCAAAATACACTCATGCCAGTGTCACTGGCGGGTTAAAGGAAATAATGCATGTGGCGTTTTTAAGGCAGCGTGTGGCCCAGTTACATTCACTCAATAGCTATGAGCCTTATTAATACTGTTTTCATTATGCCCACAAACATCACAACTGCAGAAAGTCACGTGCATGAGTTGGGGGTGCTGGGGATCTGTGTGATTGGGAAAGGTCGGCTACCTTCCTGTGCTTAGATGGGAAATATGTCTAAGCCAGCCTCCCTCCCACGTGGGATTCTGTTGTGGATTTTAGGACTGGACAAATTCATCTTGGGAGTGTCCCTTCATATCAGCAGTGTGCGCTGAAGATATAGGGCAGCCAGCCGCACTTTTGTTTGTCTCTTCGACAAATATTTCTCGAACACCTACTTTGAGGCAGGCACTTTGTTTGCAGCTATGCATACAGAAGGAAAACAAGATGGTCTTGGATCTTACCCTCCAGTTATGATAAAGAACAAAACTCTACCTTTCATGAACTTCAACACTTTCATGTGAAGAAAAAGAATATATGAATTAGATCTACTGAATTACATCAAATCAGATGAACTATCCCTGGGATTGTAGGCCTCATATTTTTAATGTCAGATTATATTAGATGTACACACATATATGTTGCATACATGCATACACACATATGTGTATTACTCATACATACACTTATAAACACACACACACACTGCCAAGCAATGGACATGAATAATCAACTAAAACTTGGTCTCATTTCTTATAGTTGTCACCTCGATTGTCACTACTACCGATTCTCCAAACAATTGTTTGAAGGATGAAAGAGGTATGTTTTTTTGTACATGTTTGCCTTTATGTCATGCTTCAGTATTTTTCCCCTCCTCTGGATTAATCAACTTTTGAACATCTCTGGGTTAAAGTAGGAAAGACCAATTAACTGGAATTGTGAAGTTAATCATTTTCTTAGTTTTAATGACTCTCTCTCTGTCAGCAGATTATATCCATATACATAAACACATTTATATACATACACATATATACACACACACACATATAGACTCACATACACACACATATACACACAAATATACACATACACGCATATACACACTCATATATACACACACATATACATACACACATATATACACACTCATATATACACACATACACACACATAGATATACACACATGTATATACATACATATATGCACACTGTTAATAATAGGCAGGGACAGTTGATTAATACTTGCCATCATTTCTTCTAGAAGGCACTGTTAGTGATTCTACAAAAGCCTGCCCAGGAGTTGAAAGTGGTAAGTTTTTATATATATTTGCCTTCATGTCATCCTGTAGCATTTTTACCCTCCTGATCCAATTACCCTTTGAACCTTCCTGGTTTATGGTAGGAAACACCAATTATTTCTGGAATTATGGGGCTCCTACATTTAATCAGTATCTCTCCTGTCTCTGTTGGCAGATTTTGTATGTATGTATGTATGTATATATGTATATATCACACTGTTATATACTAGGTCTGAACAATTGACTAATACTTGCTCTCCTTTCTTTCAGAAGCCACTGGAATTAATTCTACAAAAGCTTGCCTGAAAGATGAAAGCAGTAAGTTTTGTACATGTTTGCCTTTATGTCATGCCCAGCGCTGTTTTCCTCTGGATAAACTTAACTTTTAAATTTCCCTGGTTTAAGATAGAACACCAGAATATCTGTTTATCGCAGAACAGACTGAGCGATATTTTATGTCAATCTATCATTATTTCTTAGGAGTCATCCGAACATAGCAAAAGCTGGTTTTCGTATGGGATGACTGTAAATTAGAGGGTGCAGTGATAAGTTCTGGATTATTTCAAGAATGGACTTCATTGGTGGGGCTTGTGTTTCTTATTACTAGAGAATCATGATACCAAATTTCTTCTAGATTTTTTTACGGTCTTTGGTCATTGCTAGTAGATAATAACATAAACTAATACCTACAGAGAGATTCATACATAGAAGGTGGATGGAATGTGTGTCATGCAGTTTCTGTATAATTCTCGTAACACTCTCATGAGGACGTACATTTATTTCCCCCCATTTTACAGATGAGCTAGAATTAAGTCCCTTATACCAAGCCACGCAGCTCGAGCTGATATTTCAACCCAGGCCATTTGAATTCCTCCTCTCAGACATTGCTATAGAGCAAGAAATCCCCAAACCAAGGCCCTGAGGCATAAAGGACATCTGGGGAGGGGTGTTAAGTGCATGGCTTCTGCCCATCGCACGCTGTGGTTTGACTCCTCTTCTTTTACTATTAGTTGCATGAATATGGGTAAATTATTTACATTTCTGAGCAATACTGTCCTCATCTGCCAATAGGGAGCAGTTACACCTCACTCAGTTACTGA